TTTTGTAGATAAATTGACAAAGTAGTTAGAAATATGGTATCAATTTTTAAAATCAAAGAAAGTTCTTCAAAAACCCCCTGCGGAGACAATTATCTAGACATCTTAATAATAATATTATTATAATTCACATAAACAAACTACGGAAATTCATTGTAAGTCTTTTTTCGAATATTTTTATGCAAATAACATTAAAATAACGAACACGATCTTAGAATAGAGGTTCTCGTACTGTTGTAATTTTTAACAGGAAAATTAAAATGCCGCTGTGAACGTCTATTAGTGAAAATTTGACGTTTTTTCCAAATATAATTTCAGATAGCTTTTAACTCTTGTAATGAACTAACTGGTATTTATCCAATTTTTAATGGTCTAACATAACCCTTTACAGAAGTATATCTATGACAGTACAATATATTGTATTTTGTTGTATCTGTAACCTTCTTCTTTTGACTATTCTTAAACCATGTTCTGTGAAACATTTTCATGCATAGAAATTGCAAAACAATTTCGCTGTCTGAAGAATCATATTTAGGGTTTTGTATATATTTAAAATGTTCTTTTCGGTGTCATACTTTTATAAAACATCCTGTAAAATCCAAATTTTATTTACTATTATTTTATTTTTTTTATTAATGTGAATAGTGCAATGCTTTCGTGAATATCATCCCCGGCATATATAGTACACGTTCGTAATAGTATTGGCAAATTAGTAATTTATATCTCATCTCTTTTTTGCACAAAACGATATTATTTAAACAACAGAGATATGGCGTAGTAGTGTGCACAATTATGGGACCATCCACATCGACTAACGAACGCGAACACGCGAAATTATCGTCAGGCTCGTCGGTTCAAAGTACCGGTGCAAATTTCAACTCAGTTGAGCAAACAAGCGACCAACTACCCGCTCTATTTACAAATCTTTTACTATTCGAGCGTCCACGTGTCCGCTTTTGCCGCGCTAATCAATCAAAAATACAATGTGCAAAATGGCGAAGTAATCCAACACGTCACCGGACCAACTATTAAATTTCGTGTACCTGTACGAAGCCGACTGAAATGATTTTTTGTTTTATTATTGAGTCAAGTGAAATTTCGGTTTCTTTCATTGCCGTACTGTACTAAATATTTGAAGTATAAATAGACTCTTAATATTCGCTCTAAAATATCCAATTATGCAATGTTCGACTTTGTTCTCAGCTTTTTTAAACACTGTCGAGAGCCAATTTAAGCATTTCATATACTTTAGTCACAGGTATATTTTCCGGCGATATGGAATTTTGACCTTCCTCAATTTTCATGGTTCTGCATATGTTCTTCATTAATCACATCACTCATTAAGGCCGTATATTAAGTTGTTCTATTTATACAGCGAAAAAGATGTGCATTTAAAAATCGGTTTTCTGGCTAAAAGGGACTATGTATGATGACTATTTTTATAATAGGGGACATATGTTTTAAATCTATTGAGCAATTTTCAAGATAAAAATTATGTTTTAGAAATTTTTGAGAAAAGAATAGATCATGGAAATAATTATTTTAGTTAAAAGCTAGAAATTTTGTTTACTCCTTGCCAATGGAATGCTGTATTATATTGTGTCATAAGTTTTAAGTTATTGAATACAGGGTGTTTACAAAGTTATACGCCCCCTGTATTTTATGACCCTTGATCTAAAATATCGTAACTGCGATTTAAAAGCAATAATGCAATTTTTAGTAGTAAGCCAGTGTCTAAATAATTTGACAGTTCAATTCATCAAACAATTTATTTTATTTATTAATTTATATTATATATAAATGTTATGCGTCTACAAACAGTACTATAAAATCTTCAATGGAATAAAATGATACTTTCGGAGTAAGAAACTGCCATTTTGTTTGTTATATTAATAAACCGCGGTTTGTATATGAATTCCCCACAACAAAGTAACATTTAGAATTCATAGTTTTCCCCACCCCAATACTTTCTTTAGGTGCACCGCTAGTAGCTTTTAAAATACCAAATAAGTTTCCGATTTCGCTAGATCTTGTAATTTACAAGCATCTGTTGAAAGTTTGAACCATTTTTTGTTCTTCGCTAAATTTAATTAAAATTTTTAACAAAGCAATGAGGCACAAATTCGGCTTTGACTGAGAGTTTCATTTTAACTATTATTTTGAAGTTGCTTTAGGTGTAATCGATTGAATATAAGAAAAAATGTCTTATTTAAGCATGAAAAATAAGTCCCTAAAATCTTGACGCTGAATTTTGAAATGTCCTGTATATTATAATCCCCCGAAAATTAACTGAAACTTGTGTTGGAGATTCAGCGAATAAGTCCTTAAACAACAAATTCTGCGCGTTCCAGCTGCACCTTCGTCGAACATCGTTGTAATTAAGCTGGAAGTGTGGGCGCATCTTATGAACGACACCTGTTTTCGTCGTAAATCAACGTTAAACGGGACACCGCGTATAAATTTTCTAATATTTCCCGTAGAATCGGTCCATTTAAAATTTCCCAACGCCAAGATGAACGGCGACAAGGTATTCCGAATTCACCATCCCGCATGAAATATTTCCCACCCTCGTGTCACCTGTTTTCCCCGTTTTCACATGTATTTTTGTGTAGTTTCGCGGTGCAGTGGAACGGAAAAGAACCGAATTGTGGAATCGGCCGTTGGGTCGAGGTTTTATTTCTTCGCTTCGTTTCTTATCGCCCGTGAATTCTACGAAACAGGGAATAAACCAACAGACCTTATCACAAACCGACGCTAATCTTTCATCGTTGATGACACACAGTGACGTAGGGTCGCAAAAATTATAGCTACACAATTAGCACATTGACGGAGTTCTTACATTACTCTAGTACAACTTTTTCAATGTTCAAGAGCAACTTGTACTGCTATTTCGTATACAACAACTACTTGCAGTAGCTAATTCAACGAATTTTTATCAATCTGAGAATTCTAATCAGTCTGATACAATTTATATTCAGCAAACTTAGTCTTTTATTCCAAAACTACTTAGTTCAGAAGATGTTTTAACTTATAACTTATCTTTTTGTTTATTCTATTCTACAAAAATAATATACAAAATATGCTATTAAAGAGGAGAAATAGTAGAATTACTGATCGATGGTAATTTTAGCCTAAATTTCATTTTTATCCATTTCACGCCGTGACACACATTCTATCGCTGAAAATGTTGGGGGGGGGGGGGGGGGTGCATCTACATCTAGAATAAGAACATAATAAGGAAGTATCTTCCGTTTCGATGTATTTTGTAGGTTTTGCGGTATTTCTACCAGAGATTATTGGCTTGATTTTCATATCAAGTTCAAATATCATCTTGATACTTAATGTAGTTATTTAACAACAAGGATATATTGAAACGTATGCATTTCAGGAACGGAGCTGAAACGTGAAAATTTTTTTGGTTAAAGCAGATTTTTTCTGACACGTCAAGATAATGTTTCTCGTCTCATATTTCGTTAACGTCATTTTTCAGAAATTCAGTTTTAATCAAACAAACGCTGAGAACAAACAACAACTCGATAAACAATGGCGTTACAAAAATGTTATAAAGAGTTTATAAAGATAAAACGATATCTGAAGCGACTATAAGTATCAAAGGAACATTAAAAAAAACATATTTCTTAATTGAGCTCGTAAAAAATGACAGGAACCTTTCCGCCATGGTTTAAGATAAGAGATTGCTTCAAAATTTCGAAAATAACGTTTACGCTACCAGTCTGTTTCAACCAGCCGGGACTAACCAAACAGTAAATCGTCTCGTCTCCGCTGCACTGTCCGCGTCTCGGTCGCATTATTGAGTCATATCAGCGTCAGTTCCGGCCATCTTACGTCAAAAACCCACCGCCCGCATATATGGGAAAATGGCCGGCACATCTGTTCAAGAAATGCCCGGACGTCAAGCGCACATGCTCCCGCAATACCTTCTTATCATTCGATCTCGGCGTTTTTCGACAGCGACACGCGAAATTGAAAGCTGATATTTTTGAATGCCGTCCTCAATTGGTCCGATCGTTTAAATAAAATGAACGACGTGCGTCAACGATAATAGAAAAATAAATAAAAGGGAGATATTTCTCAGAATATGTTTTGTACTTTTCTATTTAATTGAAATTTGAAAGATTAGCGACATCGTTTTATGGGTCATCTTTAAAACTTTTTAGCCAAAAATGTCATGAAATGTTATCCTACGCAGACCATATTATTTCAATTTTTTGTAGATCCTTTTCCTATATAAATATACATAGTTTTCTACTCCCTACTCGAAAATAAATGGATGTAGAAAAAATTGTGAATGACGTCACATTCGCTACCAAAAACATTTTTGTTACCAATATATTTCACCTTCCATCAACCCAAAGTGCATTTTTGATTTTGGTTTTATTGATATGAGCCAAGTTTCAATCACCCGGTACATGTGAGTCAACGAAAGAGTAAAGTTCTATAATTGGTTTCAAAAGTTTTGAGAAAATGGTAAAAACAAAAACAGTAAAATTTGTTAAAATTATTTTAAATTATACCGGGTGACGAATAAAACATACATTTTTTTAAATGATTTTTTTTTAATGAATTCCTCTTAAAATTCTTCAACTTTTATATTAACAATAATACCTACCTCAACTAAATAAATAGTTTTTCCAATATTTTAATTTTTCTAAAAAAAATAGTAGTGTACAATTGCAAAAAAAAAACGATAGCGCCAATAGAAATTCAATCAGATGCTAGAGAGTGTTTATAATAAACGAATATATTTGGATCATTTTAAATTGAAAAACCTCGATTTTTTTTTCTGAAAAATCTTACTAAAACTCTGTATATTTTAAAATAATTTTAAATTGTGTATCCTAACACAAACCTGTAGTGTAGTTCGTTCAGTACCAATGATACTTCGAATAAAACACTTCTAACTGATATTGTTTTATTTGCCGCAATCAGATTATAAGAGCCAAATGTTTTACACAGGAATAAATAAATTCACCATTGCTTAGAATCAACTTTATTTGGTAATATATAGTATTAATAAAAAGAATGTAATCTTATACTTACACACTGGACTTGAAACTTTGCTTGCCTATGTATAACAAATATAACATATTTAAAAACATCGACTTAACGACCTCAATATTTTATTTTGTCGATTTACACTCCGAGACTGCCATACGAAGGTGGAGCTAAAATTTAAAAATATATTGGAATAAATTTAGAAGCAATTTTCATTTAATTTAATTATTTTCTAGATGCATTTTTTTGAATCAAAAAAACATTAGCTAGGATTTCGCAAAACTAGTTTCGTCCAAGGCAGGTATTCAAAAATACGTTCAATTAATGTAATTGTAAAATCTATTGAATACGTTTTTAGTTAAATATTATTTATTTTTTCGAGAATACCATCAGCCTAGCATTGAGTGTAAAAAACGAAAGAAAAGAATAAAGTAAAAAATATTTGATCCATTTTAAGTGGAAAGCAATAAACATTTCACATACATTCTTCGTCTAAGAAATTATAAATTAAAATTCACTTACGTGGCTCGAATTGGCCATTCGTTCCATATCCTCGACTCGCCTCCTGTTCCTTAAGATCTAAAAATGTTTATACAGAGTTATTATACTGGACGAGCTAAAGAGATGGGTTAATCCGTTAATGGCAGTTTCTTTAAATAACATTTTTATTAATAAATTTCGCAGTTTTTCACAGTTTTTGAGATACTAGTTCATAGGAGAACATTTAGAGGGAGGTAAACTTTTTAACTCACTAGTTTATTAAACACTCACTCCGCTCGTGTCAAATAAACTGGTGAGTCAAATGTCGTTTACCGCACTCTTTTCTACTCCCGTCTGTAAAATACCTAATTACCCATCGAACTAGCGTGCGGGAAGCATCACTTTACCACGTCAGTTTCGTTTCCCATGAATACGAGCCACTTCGGACATTTGCGAGATTTTACCCCACGAATTTGGACCAATCAGATGTTTTCCGAGATATTTCCCACGCTTTGAATTTTGACGTTTGTCAATTCTGACGGTCATGTCAGTGAATGTATTTGTGTTGTTTTGCGAAAATGTACCCAAAAACTAACGGTCGTAGAAAAAGTATAGTATGCAACACGTTCGGTAAACTTTTTAACTCACTCGTATGTATAAAACTCCAAGCGAAGTCGGACGACAATTTTTTTTCGATTTTAATTCTCATACCATCTTAAGATCGACACCACTTACCTATCAGTGGTGCAGTTGGAGGTGCCCAACCAATATTGGAAGACGAATACGTTCCCGAAACTTCTGGTGGCGCGGTCGCCACCGGCGGCTGCGCTGCACCGTAGGAGGGAGGCTGACCCTGAGACGGAGCAATGTGTCCTACTTCTGGGTACATTTTTATCTCGAGATGACGATGAATCGATGGAAGTTTAGCCACGGCCTGTCATAACAAAAGAGCTGTGTCAAAAATCGAACCCATATAGGCTGTGTGTCCTGTTGGAGACTCTGGAGAAACACAAAGAACTTTTCCAAATTTAGTGTACATTCATTTCAGAGATATTTTGGGAAACGCAAATATTGTGAGGCCTGTTTGAAACTAACGGCAACATTGGAAATTGAAATCGGACGAACCATATTTTATTTCTTACGTTTTCTTTTTCCTTTCCTAAAATAATTTTGCTTGGTAATATTTTTACTACCTTGTAACTTTTTTGTTTACTCTTTATTCTGAATAATGTTTAGCAGTGGCTTAACAATCAAGGTTAAATTATCAAAAATTGACACTTAACAGTATATGGAAAATTCCCTGATTGCTCTAATGTATTATTACTGATATTATTAACTTATTACCACTTGTAACTTATATGATTTTTTGCTGCCTTAAAATCTAGTCCAATAAAAATTCGAAACCTGGCCAATTTTCTACACTCCTCCTTAAAACATTAAGAGACATTCCATTAGGAGCATTGGTGTCCGCTCAGGGTGCGGACTGAATAATGAAAAAAGTATTACACTACTGCTTTTGGTAGAAGTAAAAATTACGCTTAATTTCCATTTATGCCCCCAGCAACTTTAACTGTCCTTTTTTCTCGCGGCACACAATTTGCTGGCACAAAAAAGGAAACTTTTATTTTATTTAATATCTGCAATAATTAGCTTTTGACAAGCATTTTCCGATAACAAATTTTACATGCCGAATCAAATGAAATGCAAGAAAGTCGAATATTTTTTCTTTAGTTTCTTATGGTACGTCGTAAGAAAAAAAGTTTATGGACGTAAACGTAGAACCAACTCTGTATTTTGAAAAAGATATAGATATACAGATCGCTGCTCTGTTTTCAAGGACCGCCAGTAATAACTATTCAACAAACAACTCGAGCTAGTCTGATGATAAAATTTGCTTTTGTTGTGTCTTTGAAATCCATGAAATATTTGTAATTCGCTGGTTTTAAGAAAGCGGTAGGAAATGGGCATGAGTAAGTTATTGGTCTATCTATTTTATAAAAATACGCATACTACCAAATCTCCTACAAATTCCTACATCCGGTTTAGCTAAAATGTCTCCCTTAGTTCAGGGCTGGTTGCTCCTTGGAATATAATGAACTTTACTAACCTTGTACATGTACTCCGATTTAAATAATCTACACTGTGCAAAGTTCGGAATGGACACATTTGGTGGTAGATTAACCTTGAAAGCGTAAGTGTTTTCGCCGTGCGCTCCCACCCCTACATCACTTAAGTCGACCAGCACATGTGTGTCTAATTTTTCATCTCTGCTTGGATCCATCGCTTTATATGTGATTCGCTAAAACAAAATGGCCAACATAAAAAAATGTCGAAGTCTTTTTGTAAGACTATTGTCAGGTCTCAAGAGACGTTGACAAATGTTTCAAAGCACTGGTTAGCGGGAATAATGCATCCTCACATTTCTCAGCGATTTCCGTCAGATATATGAGAAAAGGATATTCTACAGCCTTTTGACAAGCATTGGAAGCAATAATGCAATTAAAACCCAGGCGACTACTTGTTTCAGAAAAGACCCTGGATACTAAAATAAGCTTGAAAATGTTATGTTAACCACACCAAATCAATGGTGAACTTATCTGTCTTTCACAACTTTAGTCAAGTGATATATAGGGTATCATTGAATAAGTGTGAGGATCAAACTCTTGACTGGAACCTTCGGCACTGCATTAACACACAATAACGCGTTTTACCACAAACCGAAACTCAATTTTACGTACTCGATGCGCGTTTCGCCAACCAAGTTGGCATCTTCAGGAGAAGATCTTCTGTGTGTGAGAAGATCTTCTCCTGAAGATGCCAACTTGGTTGGTGAAACGCGCGTCGAGTACGTAAATTTGAGCTTCGGTTTGTGGTAAAACGCGCTATTGTGTGTAAGTGTGAGGATGACTTTTCAGTATTTTTAACGCAAAAAGTTATTATCTCTTACTTGTAAGGGGAATTACCTACATGTCTTATCTCCCATTCCTCACTTTTTGTACGAACCTGAATTATTTTTTTGGCAAGAAAAATTAACTCCTCACTTATTTTTACGCGAAAAGGTTATTATCACAATCACACTATATGCTGGAAATGTCTAGCACAAAAAAAATAAAACTTTGACATTTGACATCAAACAACACCCTTAATATATGCAGGGCACAAATTACTCATCCAAAGTACGACAAATGTAGACAGAGAATAGGAGAGATATCGAAAATATAATACTGCAATTCCCTGTAATTGCAGTAACATTAAAAATCTCCTGGTTATAAAATGAGTCTCTTTTTACATCAGCGATTTTTACCACTAATTTTCAATATTAGCTATAGTCAGTAAATCAAATGATCAATATTTACTTGTTTTAGCTCTAATTTAACACCTTCCACGTTTGAGTTGGACATGTTGGTAACTCTAATTTGAACTTCAACGGTCTCGCCCGGTACTATAATTTTTTTAGGAAGCTCGATGTCCATCGATATGGGTCCCTGAGCGCAACACCAGCAACATAATGTTTTCTCATCCGAATATGAAGTTGGTCTCTAAAAAAAGTCAACATAAAGACCTAAGGTGTTTGTTGTAAGTAGTGCTTACTAAAAGTTCCGGTTTTCCCAGCGCACCTAGATCTATCGGTGAATGCACCACGATCACTATCTCGTCCTCATAGTCAAACGCCATCGGCCTATCAACGATCGCTGAAATCTTATAGACAACCGATCCCTTTTCCGATTGGTAGGTACCGGGTATATTCTGTGGTAATCGAATCGTAAAAGGGTAGATGTGTTGACCCATTGACAGGGCTGTAGTTGAATGTTCTGTAAAAGATAATAATAATAGCTCGATTTTTTAGTGGAAACAGTTCTACATACGATCGCCATAAAGCATTATTCCGTCAGTAAACACATCACTGTCGCCCTTAAATACGACGTCTCTAGATTTATGAGTTTTTTCTTCACTGTCGTAGTAGGACTCGGTTCCCAGCCATTCCGTGTGCTCGTGACAGATAACTCTCACTTTCACTACTGCAACAACCAACACAAAACATCGTAAGCTTCGCAAGCGGCGCAAGTAATATTTGGGTACCTAAACCAATAAACCAATTATCTACATTAGGCTACAGAAGTACTTTTGGGGTGTTAGCGTATACACACCAGAACTACATATCTCTTTTTCTCTTTTTTCTAGATATTGATCAACAACCATTGTTTTTTTTATTTATTAGGCTCCAATTGTTTATGTTTATTACATTATAAATTTATTTAGAACAAAAATAAGGAATTGTCGTCTTATAAGCAAAAATTATTACATTTTTGATGAGATACCCCGTACCGTACTTCTTATATGTAATATATTTAAAAAAAAAAACTCTTAACAAGACCAATAAAATTATAAAATGAAATACAAGGTGTTTCATAAAAAAAAGCACATGTTTAGTTTGTATATCAAAATTTGTGAGTTTCGGAAGAAAACTACCTACGCCACTGGATCCTTCGTACAAAAACAATTTAAACCAGTTTTCACCTTTTTGAGAAGTTAACAGACCGAACTTCAAAGGGTGTGTAAAAATGCACAAGAAAATTAACATATCTCTGTTTGCATCAGTACACCCGTAAAATCATCAAAAATGGGACACACTGTACATAAACAAAATACTTCTGGCGTCTCTTCATAAATATGCATTGATAATATATAGGGTGGGATAATATATAGGGTGGCACAATAATGTTGCAAAGTACTATGTAAACGTTGCAATAAAAAAATGTTGTTTTTTTAAATAGAACACGTTTAGTTATTGACTAGAAACATATTTTCAAGTCAAATAGGGTATTAATTCGATAATTGGAAATATATCGATTTCTTTTATATTCACGGCCAACTAGATAGTGAAAAAACTATTTTTTGTGTAAATTTAAAAAATTACTTTAGAGTTTTCCAAGTTGAAAAGACTTTAGGGATTTCCCCTGTATGAGCTTGGCACTTTCCCAGACTTTAGCTGCAAATTGAATACGTTACATAGTAAGTGATTTTTTCTCAATGACCTTTTATAGTCGCGTCGCATTAAAATTTAAAAGCGATAGCAGTTCAGCAATGTACAGGGTGTTCGAATTGAAAATACATTTTGTTTTATTGGCACATTAATACTCTGTATTGCGTTACCGTATATGTGTTGTCAAAACTATTTTTATTAACGAAACTTTTGTTCAATCCTCAGAATATGCGTTTAGTTTTACAACACCACATTTTACGTAACAGCGGAAACCGTTTAAAAATTTAGATTGGTTGCTTTGCATCATCTGTAGTTATAAATGTCTTGAACTGTATGGACGCTCTTAATTGTCCGAAACAAAAAATTTAAAATTAAAGGTGTCTCTAAAACTAGCTTTGTTGAAGTTCCTTCTCCTCTTCATAAATATTTTAGTTGTTTAGTTTAATTTAACCTAAAATAAATTCGGAAATTTGGTGACTTAGTGGTCGAGACTAATGAAAAAATACAGTTTCCATACAGCTTTCATAATGCAATTTTATTTAAAACGTATCAGAAAACATAAAGTAATAAAAAAGCATAAACCATAATACGTTAGAGCTTTGATTTAGCTGCTATTTGAACTGCATTAAAACAGAGCAATTAATATACAAAAGTAATAAAATATACGTGGTGTTATTAAGATAACGTTGTTGCCATCGTTCAAAATATTAAACCTAAGTACAAAATATTATGCTAAAAAAGAAGATAGAAAGATCAGAGAAAGAAATATAGTGAAATCAGAAACTTTGAATATATAACATGAAATACAGAAGAAAAACAACTTTGTTACAAATTCAATCACCACAAAAAAAGAAAGCATATCATGATGGCTATACCTCTTAGAGGAGTTTGGGAACTAAAGTTCAGCAGTACCCTCCCCTGAATAGGTGAACCACATAGATATTGTCCTGTGTAATTGTCCAAAAATATTTTGCATTGGGACATCGTGTAACTGCGAATAAAAATACAGCTAGCGCCGGGTTCGTCACGCCACTGCACACCGCGCGAACACTAGATAATCCCCGTAAATATATTCAGGAACATGCGCAGTTTCACAATTCCCCAGGCTGGACACGCGATAACTTGCTTAACCTCGAAGTTCTACACATCAAATTTACGCGGAATTCTGGGTCAAACGCGTCGAAAATAATTCTGACGAACGATCGTTGGAATAATTTAGTACAATGGGATTTCACTCCACTTTAGGTGAGATATAAATGCACTGCTGCCTACACCGGATCGATTTAATGCAAGAACACGAAATAATACGCTCGACGACAGAGAAGACTCCGTTTAATTTCAGAAGGTCGTGGGATTCGAATAGGCAGCGCCTGTAACTGACCGGGTGCGTCCGTAACCAGTAACGTGGAATGTGGGAAATACTGATAATTAATGCTAATGTACAACCGTGGTAAAGGGAAAATATAAAATCTGAATTATAGCTTGCACTATTAATTTGTAATTTAGTTTTGGATCCCAGAAATTTTATATGTGAAAGAAGCAAACGATTCTAAAAATTTTATCACATCTAATTTTTGTTCTAAATTTAATAACCGTTTTAGTAGTTAGTAAGTTAGAAAATTTTGTGTGCGATGTGTTGATCTAAATATTTATGACCACATGATGTTACTAGCTTATTGTAAAACTACAATAATTATTTATTATTAATATATATCTTAAAAAATTAATTTTTCCAAATGAAAAACCAACTAAATATAAAACACAAAAAAGATCATAAAAATTCCGGAAAATTAAGAAATAACCCAGTTATGCAAAGTGTATCAATGAAGATACCACTGATCAAATTATCTAAATATTTATATTCTTTGCATAGAAAAGATAGTTGTAACATTCAAACAACTTCTATTTCCTTATACACATGGGATAAATATATATATTGTTTGGGTCGATGTAGTATTCCCAATTGACGTATGTGCTATGTGTTATTATGCCACTTCAGTACGAAAATATTTATCTCTGTAATCTGTAATAGTACATTTAGATTGACCATGACCGTTCCGCTAAAATGCTCCGCATTTGCATGCGAAATAACATGGCAAAACGAGTCGACGGTTCAGAGTATCGGGGATTTCCCATATAAAAATGAGTGCAACTCGGACAATCCAAAATAAAAGCTTGTTTTAATGGATTCACGTTTATAACGTCAAATTTCTTCTTGTGCGTTATTTATTTCATTCAGTCATTGTTTCATCTTTAAGAATTCCGCTATTGTCTGTCACAAAGGCAGGTACACAACGTAAACGTAAAATTAATAGAAAAAGCTGGTCGCATTTGAAAGATTGCTAAATTATTAAATGTTTCAAATTTGATATAATCCTTTCATTATTTTAGGAAATATTTTGAAAGTAGTAAAGTATTAAGTACGATAACTTACGACCTCCCCAAATTCGATGTTCGAAACGATTCCTTCGGCCACCTTGATGCACAATTATAGTCGGTTCACATATTCACATCAATATACTGAAGAAACAAAATCAATTCATTTTACGCGCCAAGATAATTTATTCTAATAGATAGCAAGTTTTACAAAACACTATAATGCTTTTTGATAATATCTGCTGCTTTCTCGGCAATCATGATAACTCCAGCGTTCGTATGGCCCGAAACCAGCTCAGGCATAACTCCTGCATCTATAATCCTGAACTTATTCATGCCATGTACCTGAAGTCTAGCGTTTACCACTGAATTATTCTTACTGTGGCCCATACGCGTGGTACCGATGGGATGATAAAACTAAAAATAAAAGTCAACTTGCGGACTCTCACGCGCATACTCCATACCCCAGTACTTAAAGCCCGGATGGCGCAATACCACCAATCTTTAGACCCTTTTTCGTAGTTTGGGTCGCAAGTGGGCATATCGAAAATTTGGACTTTTGCACTAAATCCCTTAAAAGTTGTCGTAGAGTTCAGTTTCAAGAGATATTGGACGCCCTTGTAGAGAGTCTCGATGTCGCTTTCATCCGACAGATAATTTGGATCGATCAGGGGCAAGTCTGCAGGATTTTTCGACTGTAATCTAACGGTGCCCTTAGATTTTGGATGGAGAAGGGCGGACATCATCCACACATCGTGCACCGTGGGTTGGTAAATATTGGTATACACATCAGAAAATCTAGAATTTTTTCTTTTGATTTCATGGTTGTAATTTATTGATTGATTGATGTTTTAAAATCTTCTATATCAACAATATCTTCAAATGGCCGTAGCATTTGTATAAGCATTTCCTAACATAGGAATTGAGGTTTAAGTTTGTATCGATCATAACTCCTAAATTTCTAGCTTCAGTAACTTTTAATTTTTCGATTTTTCTGAAATATGTTTGTAACTTAATTTTAAACTTAAAGACATTGTTGTCGGTACTTACCAACTACTACAGTCAATCGGGTTAAAAAATAAGATTTTCAGACGCTACAACTTGCCATAACAGTGTTATCTCTCCATGTCAGTTTACAGAAAAGTTTTTGAGTGTCATGAAATTTTTTTATTTAGCCTTTACAAGAAACAACAAATTTTAAAATTTGTAGAAGAAAATTCTGCTTGCTTCAAATACTTTGGTGATCTCAACTAAGTCAGTTCTTTATCGTCAAAGTAGTATTAAAGTCGTCGACTTACCTGAATATTTTGGATACTGTCGCAGCTGAGAGTGGGGCGTTCAATATGGCATACTCTATATCCGGTCTGGCAGTTAAATTATTATCTGTGTTAAGGAAACCCACTAACTCAGAACAGAGACCGGCTGTAAGTGGCCTCAAATTTTGCACGTAGAGCTTTAACAGATCTTCCACTGTGTTGTTATAATAGGTATGATTTGTTCTGAAAGTGAGCAATGACTAATTAAACTAGGTAAAAGGCATTTCAAGGAGCGTAATACCTATAATACAATCCAATATACGCTACATGATCTTGAAGATTTTCTCCTACTGGTAAGTCTTGGACAACATCGATTCCAAGCTCATTGAGATGATCTTTCGGACCAATACCAGACAAAATCAAGATCTGAGGCGAATTGATCGATCCCGCTGACAGGATGAGTTCAACGTTCGCGTTCACCCTGTACTTCTTACCGCCTTTGATGAATTCGACGCCACGAGCCGTTATGTTATCGGAATCTATCAAAATTTTTGTAACGAAACTGTTTAAACTGATGTTTAAATTCGGTCTGGACGTAAAATTTTGCAAGAAAGCCCTCGAAGTACTGGCCCGTTTATTGTAGTCGAGGAAAAACTGGAGTTTGCCGATTCCCAGTTGATTCGCACCGTTGTAGTCTATTTTTTCTTGACCCAATTCACGAAAAGCGTCGAACAGTTTGGACTCCTGTAATCGATTACTTTGACTCGTATCGGCTCGAACGGCAGAAATTGGACTATCGATAGATAGGGGTTTAAATTTTATTGAAAAAATACGAAACTAATATGATTATTATTTCCCTTTGGATATCCATTAGATTACATTTAATTTTCAAAATATTGTCACTCGTACTCAAGTAAAAGTGAAAAAAAACATGCAAGTTTTATAAAAAAATATATGTTATCTTTAATAAAAGTTTTCACGCAAGTTACGTCCCTTCAAACTTATCGCAAGTATTTTGTAACACTCTATAGAAATAATAGAAAACGAGTTAAAAAATAGTACTAATTTATGTAGCCAGTTGCGAAAAATTATAACAAGTGAATTTGTGCCCAAGAGAACATGCAATAGTGGTTTTCACGAAAACTGAAATTATGGAAAAAAAAGAAAAGTATTTCTTATTAGTCAAAATTAGAAAAAAAATTGTGCTCTTTCAAAATTACTGTTTAAAATCATTTTTCTACTCCCGTCTGTAAAATACCTAATTACCCACAGATCTAGCGTGCGGGAAGCGGCACTTTACCACGACAGTTTCGTTTCCCACGGATCCGAGCCATTTCGGACAGTTCCGAGATTTTACAGCACGGGTTTGGGAGCGATCGGATCTTTTCGAAGATATTTCCCACGCCTTGAATTTTGACGTCATCTCAGTGAATGTATGCATGTTGTTTTGCAAAAACTAATGGTCGTTCCGCTCCGCTCGTGACTCAAATGCTGTTTACCGCACTTGTTGCATAATATACTATAAACGAGCTATTGCAACAAATTTTAAATTAATTTGAATTTACTGCGGACGGCTTAATGCAATTTGTTAACATTCAGAAAAATAAATTATGCATTATATACTTTTTACAAAACTTCTGGATTCTTCCTGCGTCGGTTTTGTTTAGTCGAAATTGCTGACGTTTCGCCAATCATCCTGTTGGCTTCTTCAGTGCTTGATTGAAACTAGCTCGTATTTTACTCTGTACCCGATTACATATTGCTTGGGGGGGGGGAGAGGGGGTGCGCTAATGAATGGTATAAACACCGTCTCGGATGACTGATTCCCAAATTGAACGACAGGTAGAGACCTGAGTCGCGATTAAGATTGTTAGGTTGTTTATAGATTTCTCTAGACTCTCGGATTTTTTGTTGGTAGAAGAACTGATTACAAGCAAGAATTTTAATTTTACCAAATAAAATTTTTTATGCCCGGTTTCATGAGTGTGTTCGGCAACAGCTGATGAGTATATTTGTCTTAGTCGTAAGGCTCTTTCGTGTTCTTTGAGCCTAGTTGATATTTTTAGTCCGGTCTCTCCAATGTATTCTTTGCCGCATATGCATGGAATGCTGTAAACTCCTGGCGTCTCAAATGGAATTTTGTCTTTGACGGACCGCAGATGTTGAGAGATTTTTGGACAAGCGGTAAATCTGGTTTTGAAGTTATACTTCTTTAGAACTTTTGACATATGGTCAGTGATGTTTTGAATGCAAGGAAGGACCACAGTGGCTAGTGTAGGATTGCTTTGGGCCTCATTGCTATTGGAAGGTTGTGGTGAAGTGTATTTTTTGATGGAACGTTTAATATTTTTAATGTGGAAATTATTAGAGAGAAGAGTAAGGTGTTTTAATTCTGTTTTCAGTGACTCGGGTTGAGATAGTTTTATGGCTCTGTAAACAAGAGAGTTGATAACCGATGATTTTTGGGCCGGATGGTGATGTGACCATGCATTAAGGTATCGGTCTGTGTGCGTATGATTTTGTAAACACAATGACCCAATGTTAGGTCTGATTTTCTATTGATAAGAATATCTAACAATGGCAGGTTATTATTAGCTTCCAACTCAATGGTAAAACGTCCCGCCCTTCCTCGGACCAGGGAGCTGCTTAGACTGACCAGGAGGGAGTGTAGAGCACTAACAGGGGCCTACACAGGACATTGCAGGCTTAGGAGGCATCTCTGCTTGCTAGGCATTGGAGACGACCCGGAGTGTAGGTGGTGCATGGAAGGGGAGGAGACCCCTTATCATCTGCTCACCGAGTGCCCTGCCTTGACATGGGCAAGATTGGGAGTCTTCGGAACGGCCCTGATCGATCCGGACTCAGTGCACGGTATTGGGCTAAAGGAGTTGCTGACCTTCTACAGGAGGGGCGGAATTCTAGACGCCCTCTAGAGCGGGCTGGGGGCACAACGGGCCCATCTGGTGGCCTAAGTGCTTGGACGCCCGCGAGGGCGCCCCCCTTTAATACCAATACCAATACCAATGGTAAAACGTATGTTAGGGTGTATCGAGTTTAAATATCTAAAAAAATCTACTAGGGTTTCTTGACCATGAGGCCAAATAAAAAATGTATCATCGACGTAGTGTTTCCATAATTTTGGTATTAGATGAAAGGTTTCGAGAGCTTTCTTCTCAAAGGCTTCCATATATATATTCGCGATGACTGGTGATAGTGGAGAACTCATAGCTGTTCCCGACGTTTGTTCAAAAATTTGGCCGTTATATGTATAAGCATTTTTCAATTAAGGTAAGAAGGTTTATATATGCATATATATTATTATACATTATATATTATTGTGAATTATCTTATAACTCACCAAACCGGCAGTCTCGGACGTGACGTCTATACTCAAGTACCCATTATGACCGTGATATTCTTGTTCCCTCCCTTCAAACACCGCTTTCTCCGACTTTTTAAAGTATGGCAATACTTCGTTAAATGACCAACCCTCGTTGCCCATTTCCGCCCACTTGTCAAAATCTTCAGCGTTACCTCTCGCGTACACGCCATCACTAAATGTGCTGCTCCCTCCTATGACTCTACCTCTCGGGAAAACGCACTGCTGGTCAACCATTCCTGTGCAAATTTAACGCAGAGATGATATGCAAACTACAACTTTCCTTATTTATTCGTTTTCATAGTGAACAAGCAAACAAACAAATTAAAGGGCATAGTGGGATAATCAAATAAATTATAAATAAATAAAGTCCTTCATTTCCAACCAACAATAAAAACTTACAAGAAAATAATTAATACTCCAGTCTGAATGCTTGATTAAGTTCCTTTATGGAATAATAATAATTCAATTTCGTTATAATATGGAGCAAAGCGGTTGGAACAAGAGAAGCCTTATACAGGTCCTGATACAAAGGTGCAGAGATGTAAATTGCGAAATGTATGCACGTTTAGTTGACTATGAAAAGGCGTTCGATAGAGTGAAACATGAGAAAACGATGGTCATACTTAAGAAATCCTGGATTAACGCCAAAGACCTCAGACTAATTGAAAACCTCTACTGGAACCAGACGGCAAACGTAAGGATGGAAGGAGAACATACAGAAAACATCAAAATTATGAGAGGTGTGCGGCAGGGATGTATACTATCCCCACTCATTAAACTCCGATTAAACAACATAAAGTATGCAGACGATACAATTGTATTTGTCGACAACTTGAAGGATCTGTAAACCTTAATGAACAGCATCACCTATCATAGTCAATAGTATGGTCTTAACATCAATGTTAAGAAGACAAAAATGATGATAATAAGTAAGAATAAGATAACAGGAAGACAACTCTACATAAACCAAATTCCCATAGAAAGAGTAAAACAGTACAACTACCTTGGTACTATTATAAATGAAGAATGGACCAACAATCAAGAAATCAGAGCACGCATTGCAAAACCTAAATCCACATTCAACCGATTGAGTGCATTCTTTAAGAGCCACAACTTATCTCTTGAGACCAAAATAAGAATGTTGCGTTGCTACGTCTTTTCAATCCTCTTCTATGGTGTAGGATCATGGACCGTAAATGAAGATATGTGTAGCAAGTTAGAAGCGTTCGAAATGTGGCTATACAGGAGAATATTAAAAATCCCGTGGACTGGTCGTGTTACTAATGGAGAAATACTTCGACGAATGAAAAAAGATCGTGAAGTAAACAACACCATCAAAATACGCAAGCTACAGTACTTCGGCCACATAATGAGAAACGAACCAAGATACACCTTGCTTCAATCCATCTTGCAGGGAAAATATTTGGAAAAAGAGGCCCAGGAAGAAGACGAACGTCCTGGTTGACGAATCTCAGATCCTGGTTTAATAAGACAACACCACAACTTTTCCGTATTGCTGCTGACAAGATAAAAATTGCCGTGATGATCGCCAACATCCGTAACGGATAGGCACTTTAAGAAGAAATGGAGCAAGCCACAATAACCTAATCATGTTTACTACAAAATTGTTGCAAATGTCTAATGAGGAAAATTTTCGCTAATGTGGTGATCAGGAAAGTGAGAAAGTTTGTACGAATAGAAATTTTAATCAATCGATACTTCATATATAATAAAAAGTTTCTTCAGAATGTCGTTTGAATAATCTTGATCACAACATTTCATGACTAAATTACATTTACAGATATGTTTAAATAATAAGATGAAACTGTTTTTATTATGATTTATAAACACTCTGTAGACCACAGAAGTTAATAAATCCACTCACCTACATGTATTTTCACTATAACATTTTACTTCTTAATTTGCAAAGAAAAGTCAAAGCTACTAATTAAGAACTTAAAGGCTTACCAAGACATGCATGTTTCTGAGTGGTGGTGTTGTATCCCCAGTTCATATCGCTAAAGTACGTGTATGCACTGCTTAAACCGTAAATGTCCGTAAAATCGTTGTCGGAACCACCAGCTTCCAACAATAAGACCGTCCATCCTTCTACTTCGGTAAGCCTATTGGCCAACACCGAGCCAGCTGATCCCGCTCCGATGATAACAAAGTCAAATGAACCTAAATCTGTTTAAAAAAAAGTGCCATTTTTGTTCAAAAAAAAATAAATTAATATATTTTCAGTTAGTTTATTAGCATCAATAATTTAGCACAATTATGACATAATTATAATATTTGTCTTTAGTCTTGTTAATAACTGTTGCAAAAGTAATAGTTCTTGTGGCAAAAGAAGTGCTCTGATAATTGGCAAAGCAATGAGATTTGACACTTAATAAAAGGCAAATATTAATGGGATCTTAGCGAATATAACGTGGAGTCAAATAGAGAATAGAAAATTGTTTTCGTTGCTATTTTCTTACAGTCTTTTAAACAAGATAATCTTATAATCTTGCTAGTGTCCTTAGAATCTTGCATATTTCTCCATATAAATCCGATCGCAAATATCTTTCATCAAATAAAAGCAATGATTAGATTAGATACTTGTTCCTTATATATAATAGATTTTAGTAAGAAAGTATTAATAATGTTGAAGTTAATATCTAGAAAGATATATTGTAATTAAAGTATAATAATAGTAATAGAATAAGATTTGTATTTGTATAAGGATTGTACCAAAATTTGTACAAATTCACTTTGGCATTACTTTTTGTTTTGCATCTTCGTGATCTTTCGGAATATTATGGGTTTTACCTTAACATCGCTTTTTGGAAAAACGTTTTTTTTTGCAATAAAGTTATTTATTATGATTATTATCAGTACCAATAATTTCTAAATTTAAATTTGGAAAATTGGAGAATTTTTCTTTTTCTAATAAACCTTGAAAATAAAACATGGTTCTTAATCTTACTTATGGAGGCCTAAATTCAATTTTTATATATATTAAACGGCTAATCTAAAAGACCACAGTTATATAACACTTACCGTTAGTTGTGTTATCATTGAGAACCAGAAACTTGCTATTGTCCTTTGGCAAAACATAAGACTCGGCTTCCGATACGTTCCCGACAACCATCTCCAAAAATTCTGTAAAATTTTCATAATTGCAAAAAGCAGATGGTACACCGAAAAGCAATATTGCAGAAATCAACAGATTTATCGACGCCATGATGATAAACTTATTAGTGCGCTTATTCTGCCCTTACACAGATTTATAATCTATTCGAAATATATATTTTTGTAATATTTTTTCCACTCAAGCCGCTAGTGCATTATTGAGGCAATTGAATTTTTTTGCATTGGAGGCTACTGATAAGAAGAGTGGAAGATATCAGATCAAAAAATGACGCTGTAGCTAGGCGATCGGCTCTGCTGTCCTTGATATATCTCTTGAAAATCTTGTGATGCACTGCGTAAAATGGATTAAATTCCAGAGTCGAGTGAATTAAAATATTTGACCCGAACCATGTAATTGTATCAATATTGATAATAACAATATCAATTGATTTAGTAAACTATACACGTTATATTGTAAAATTTGCTTTTAACGAACTGTGAGATAATATAATATTCTCGATTTTTGTTTATTTTTCTAATTTAATTTAAAAACAATTAAAAAGTATAGTTTAGGTTAGGTTAGAAGTGGGATTTAGCTTTAGTATTAAATCAGTTCATATCGCCAATAATGAGATTCAAAAACTTACTACGAGGATTCGCTTAAAATTTGTTTTGTCGATAAGAGGAAAGGTAAAAATATGTTCTTAATCATTTGTAACTACTTCAACTTTATCACTTGAGTAGTAAAAACTAGGTAATAAATAATTATATAATACAAACGAAGCAACTTGAATGCCGCGACATCAAATTTTGATAAATTGGTTAAGGCTTTCGCGGCCCGTTGATAAGCTATTATCTTCATTCGGGTTTAAAGGCCGTCGTCGATTGGAATTACTTCCTAACGTTTCGCTAGCACGAGTGGCGAGCTTCTTCAAAGGTCCTTCCATCTCCGATGTTGGACGTAGACTGACGATTTCTCCTGCGCAGGTTGTATTTATGCCGATTGGTGGAGGGCGGGGCTTGTTCCGCTTCGGTTGGTCTCGGGATATCGATCGGTACTGCTCGGGCGTTCCTAAGGATCGGGTTCCAGATTTGGTTGAGTCTAAGGGTCTCCTCCTTTCGGTTGAAATTGTGTGGGTGTTTTTGAATCTCAATGGCTTCCCTGACTAGTCTGTTGTGATAGCCGTTGACCGATGCTAGTAACTTACAGCTCTCAAAGTGTATCCTGTGTTCCCCGCTGCCCAGTGCGTGTTCAGCCACTGCAGACTTCTCTGTATGTCCTAGCCTGCAGCTTGCTTTATGCTCCTTAAGTCTCGTTCCCATTGATCTCTTGGTAGTTCCGATGTAGACCTTTCCGCATGAACACGGAATGCGGTAGACTCCCGCAGCTGAAAGTGAGCCCCTCTTGTCCTTCGCTGACCTGATGGTCTGCTGGATCTTCTTTGTAAGCTTAAAAATTGTTTTGATGTCGTGTCTTTTCAATACTCTGCCAATCCTGTCGGTGACACTCGGAATATACGGCAGATATGCGTGGGAGGTGGAGGGTCGTTGTTCGGTATCCCGTGATCTTGATGATCTTGAGTTCATTGATCTCTCGATCTCCCTCTTACTGTAGCCATTTGCCTCGAACGCAGTTTTTAGGTGTTCAAGTTCCATCTGGAGGTTCTCCGGTTCGCAAATCCTTCGGGCTCGTTCTGTCAGGGTTCTGATAACCCCATACTTTTGACTTGGGTGATGGTTGGATAGAGCATGCAGGTATCTGTCCGTATGGGTTGGTTTTCTGTAAACTGTGTGGCCCAGCTTGTTACCTCGCTTCCTCACTAGTACGTCCAAGAATGCAAGTTGTTGGTCATTTTCAGTCTCCATAGTAAACTGAGACTGTTCCACCAAGGCTCTATGGACTACCTAAGATACACAAAGTAGATGTCCCGTTAAGACCAATAATTAGCGCACCCGGATCACCAACGTATTACTTGGCTAAACACTTGGCATCGCTGCTTCAACCACACGTAGGACACGGCACCAGTTACATCAAGGACTCCACCGACTTCGTGCGCAAGATTCAAGATATCAATATTGAACAAAACGACATCCTTGCGAGCTTCGACGTTGTCTCACTGTTTACCAAAGCACCTCTGAAGAGTTGCTTGGACCTGGTGAACAGGATATTTCCTGTCGATATTTGCAAACTTTTTGAAGTCTGTCTGACCGGTAGCTATTTCGTGTGGAAGGGAAACTTCTACGAACAGGTGGACGGAGTGGCAATGGGAAGCCCACTAAGCCCGGTTATAGCCAACTTATTTATGGAACACTTTGAGGAAAAAGCGATCGAGACCTCAGAGTACAAGCCAGCAACGTGGTTCCGGTACGTGGATGACACCTTCGTGATTTGGAAACATGGTATGGACAAGCTCAACAACTTTCTGCAGCATCTCAACAGTCAGCATCCCAGCATCCAGTTTACTATGGAGACTGAAAATGACCAACAACTTGCATTCTTGGACGTACTAGTGAGGAAGCGAGGTAACAAGCTGGGCTACACAGTTTACAGAAAACCAACCCATACGGACAGATACCTGCATGCTCTATCCAACCATCACCCAAGTCAAAAGTATGGGGTTATCAGAACCCTGACAGAACGAGCCCGAAGGATTTGCGAACCGGAGAACCTCCAGATGGAACTTGAACACTTAAAAACTGCGTTCGAGGCAAATGGCTACAGTAAGAGGGAGATCGAGAGATCAATGAACTCAAGATCATCAAGATCACGGGATACCGAACAACGACCCTCCACCCCCCACGCATATCTGTCGTATATTCCGAGTGTCACCGACAGGATTGGCAGAGTATTGAAAAGACACGACATCAAAACAATCTTTAAGCCTACAAAGAAGATCCAGCAGACCATCAGGTCAGCGAAGGACAAGAGGGGCTCACTGTCAGCTGCGGGAGTCTACCGCATTCCGTGTTCATGCGGAAAGGTCTACATCGGGACTACCAAGAGATCAATGGGAACGAGACTTAAGGAGCATAAAGCAAGCTGCAGGCTAGGACATACAGAAAAGTATGCAGTGGCTGAACACGCACTGGGCAGCGGGGAACACAGGATACACTTTGAGAGCTGTAAGTTACTAGCATCGGTCAACGGCTATCACAACAGACTAGTCAGGGAAGCCATTGAGATTCAAAAACACCCACACAATTTCAACCGAAAGGAGACCCTTAGACTCAACCAAATCTGGAACCCGATCCTTAGCAACTCCCGAGCAGTACCGATCGATATCCCGAGACCAACCGAAGCGGAACAAGCCCCGCCCTCCACCAATCGGCATAAATACAACCTGCGCAGGAGAAATCGTCAGTCTACGGCCAACATCGGAGATGGAAGGACCTCTGAAGAAGCTCGCCACTCGTGCTAGCGAAACGTTAGGAAGTAATTCCAATTGACGACGGCCTTTAAACCCGAATGAAGATAATAGCACATCAAATTTTGTTTGTCTTTTTAAATCTGACATCTTATAATTCTACGATTTAAGTCCCAAATAAACTGCTGGACACTGGTACATACAAAATCCTACAAAACCCTTAAAGCTATTAGAACAAAATTTCTGTATATAAAAGCTCAATTTATAAAGTATCGTTAAGTTTGTATATTTGTATCTTATGCAAAAAGTTTGATAAAAGCCACATAAGTTACCGTTTGGTTTGGTGCAGGCAAGGCACAGCGGAACGAGTGTTTAATAAACGTGTTTTTTGGTACATTTTCGCAAAACATAACAAATATTTTCACGTTTTCAGTGGTGAGTAACGTAACTATAGGAACAATCAAAACACGAACAGTGCATAAAATCTACTGGGATCGCTAAACCCGTTACTCAGTCGTTAACAGAGGTCTTAAAGTCACTTCTTGTACACCTGATCGGCCCATAATTGGGTATTTAGAGTAGGAAGTGGAAGAAGTTATATAGCTTTTAATACTCTGGATGGTAAACTAGCGAGTGCATTTCCCGTTTCAACCAGCTGACAATTGTAAAATTTTTTCTCCAACAAATCGATACTTCGTGAGTATTGATTATCGATATTTTCTTTTAATAATTTTTTGAACTAATTTTGAACTATTCGTTAAAAAAATAAACTAAACTAAACTAAATTTTTCCATGATCCGTGACGAGAGTAATGTCGACTTCTAATTCCTCAATCGGTTGGTACCTGATCGGTACCTAAACTTTGCATTTACTGAGCCTTAAAGCAAAAAAAAAACAGTTTGTCTGACCAACCAAGCTCAGTAATGAATCTAAATGTCCTGGGTTGTACTGGTTATTGTAATTTAGTAATTTTTATCTATTTTTATCTTTCCATAAGAACATGGTTTCACATTTCCTGATATTACAGCGAATAGTTCGCTCGGTAGGCAGACTGCGTGGTCAGCGTCATTGCTAAATAAGCTAGAGCTTATAACAAAATTGGATTACAAAAGTCCATACATAGGTCATGAGGAAAGTAGTGGGGTATCCGGACATTTTCAAAAATAAATCTCTATAACTTGTTGAAAAAGACTATCAACACTAACCTGATTTAAAATGGCATCGGTAAAGAGCAATTTGCGATAACAGTACCAATAAAATTAACTGCGCTTTGGAATGGAAAATAGCAAAAAAAAAGTGATATTCAACCATATTAACATTGCAGCTATTAATTGTGTATTTTGGTGGCCTTTTCCAAGTGAAGTGTTTGATATGTTTCGTGTTTATGTTATGCGATGCCGTCTCCTATATTAAAACGCAAAGATATTAGTGTTTTATCTGTTTTTTGTTATATGTTATTTATTTAGGAATGATGATTAATTAATGAAAATTAGTATTTGGTATTTGGTAAAGGATTACATTATTATGTTTTTATTTCGCTGTTTTCGCAAAGCGCGATCTAATGAAGTAATCTAAATCAATCCGCTCGGGGGGTAGTGTTGATATACCGGTGATAGTCTAACAAGAGCAACTTTAAAACAACTCCAATACGCTACCAATTTTACGTTCGCATATTTTTCCTTCCTTGCAAGAAAACGATTTATTGTCCCACTTCGCTCACTGTTTTGAGTTGAACATAAAAATTGAAAATA